CTTAATAAAAAAGGATTAGAGGAGAAAGGGAAGATAATTCGAATCTTCTTCTTCTTCCTTCTCTTTTTGCCATCTTCTTCTCTTGTACTGCTGCTCTTACTTCTCTTCTTCCTTTTTTTCCCTCTAATCTTCAAATTTACACCTAATATTTGAGGACTGATTTACATCTCAAGAGCTGCTAATAGTTTGTCAAATTCCATAACAAGAACAAGGGTCACAAAGAACATAAGCATGTGGGGTACACCATGTGTGGGAAGAGACATAAAAATATTATATTGTTAATCAGGTATAAACAGCAAATTTCAAATCTTTTGTTACCCTACAACCCATTCTCTTGGTTAGTGTGGATTCTTCTAGTCATATCAATGTTATGAAACTACATTATTTTTTATGATCAAAAAACGCCATTAGGTGATAGAAAGCTTTAAGGCAAGGCCCATTGAAGCTGGATCATTATTTTAATGTCATTAAGAAATTTCCGGCATCATTTTCAGTTTGAACAGGATGCATCCCATGGGTATATGGCAGATGAGTTTGTCAAAATTGGGTACAAAAAAGGCATCTATATATAAAGAAAGTTCAATACCTTAGTGTTTTTCATTAGAGGATCAGGAGAAAACATCTTGTAATACCTTTTATAATAATTAATAAAGAAAATGATACTACTTAAATTGCAATCAGATCTTCTAGCATAGAACCACCAAGAGTTATATACCAATACCTCTGAATATTTAGCAAAGGAAAAACCTAACAGCAGGAAAAAAATAACAGCAATGGAAACATACCTGGGCAAGAATGTCATTCATACAGTCACTAGCATATGCATCTCCATGTCCCAACACACGTAACAGCCTAAGCAAATGAATATGGAGGAAAGGGTCTGTAATCCCAGCAACATCATATTCTGGTGTATATGGACTATTCACAACATCCTTTAGAACTTTGACCAAACCCTCTGTGCACCGCTATAATCAATCAGACAATAATTTCGTATCACTACCTTATAACAAAAGGAAAGAAAAGGGTAACTTGGGCACATAAACCAAATTGCCAATATATTTTTTTATCATCGAATTAAGCAAATACTTTAAATGTTGAAAGCTGCATAAACCAATCTTGTATTTCATTGACTTCTTGAATATTTGCTTTTACATAAACAGGCTGAAAAGCGCATCCAAGTCTAGAATCTCATCCCAAAGATCAGCTTTCAGTTAAAAGAAATTGCAGAAATTGGAAGTTCAAAGGAAGGTGTTCCATGTAGCAAGGTCCAATAATTGTATGATCCCTCAAAACCATGGTAAGGTATAAAAAATCCCAATGAGAAAAATCAAGTCAGATTATAGGTTTCAGGCATCAATACCAACCACAGCAGGATACTGGTAAATACTCGAAACTGGGCATGACCAATTTTGTTTGTTTTTTCTTTACAAACATATACTACCAAGTTCCAAACTGGGCATGACCCTTTCTTGCTCCCAGCTCCTCAAATTTTCCCTTGTAGTTCATACTAAAGTTATAAACTTTGTCCCACTCTCTCCCTCCTCGCAATAATTTCCGCTCTCCACTTCCTTTCTCTTCAAATTCTCAATCATCTCCCAAATTCTTCTTATCTTCTACCCCTAGCCTCCTTTTCTACAACTCTCCCATCATCACCTCCACCTTCCACTTCCCTACTTACTGCTTGTGGCATATGGGCTGCACTAGAACCTGGAACAGTTACAGCCACAGAGCAACAGTTAGTATCAAAAACCGAATTGACACGAGTACCTGGTTTCTGGTGAGGGGAGGAAGCATTTTCACTAGACAAGTGATTTGACTTTCCCTATTCAGGAACTTGAAGCTCACCACATGGTTCAAAGTAGCAATACACCTCTGTGTATCGAGAAAGGTGTATCAGTACTTTAACTGATGCGCCTTTTATTTTTTTTTTCAAATTTCAGTTTTAACTTATATATATATATATATATATATATATATATATATATATTATTTAATAAAAAAGGAGTTCCTGAAAACACCTGTAAACAGGTGTATCGGCACTCAAATACAGGATAAGATACGCACAGTATCGAGCGTATCGTGTCAATACTTTGAACCGTGACTTACCAATCACCCTAGTGGGGTTTTCACAAGGAAATCTCCAGTCATTGAATTAAGATTGTGAATACTATCCAAGACCTTGTCGTCTATCCACTCCCGGGTCTCCCTTGTTTAGTCTCTGGCAATCCTCAACTAATCCCTTACAGGCAGTCGGACACCCTGCCTCAAATAGGAGTTTGGTTCTGGTATCTTCTTGATTGGGCTTTGATTTCCCATTTCCCACCTCTTCATTCTTTTTGTCCTCCACCATGTTAACAAACTTACTCCTCCCCTTCATTGTATTCCGATGATTCAGCCTTACTTTTTGAATCATCATCATCATCCTCCGTCTGTGCATACTCCCAACCATTATCTACATAATCAATATCCTCCACCCTACACCTTGAATGAATAGGGTTAGGATGATCATTAACCAACTAGACAGAGCTAACTTGTGATGCCTTTGGTCTAGTTATCCATGGCAAACTAGTCTTCACCAGCTACCCAGTTTCAGCCTTCCATTAGCCACTTTCCTTTAATCTCCCTTCAATACCCACATAATCTCACCTTATTAGCCAACTCATTCGAATTTTTTAGTGAGTTGCCAATATGGGTCGGGCTCCTTCCAACTGGCTCAAAGGTGACACCCAACTTTCCCGAGCCCTTATTCTCCATCGATCAACCAACATCCCAAATCAGTTCATGGCAGCCCCCTTCCTTATTACTTCAAGTCTTCAACATAGGAATAATACCCCACCTTCTATCTTATAAAGTCAAATTAATTTAAAATGTCTTCATTCCCCATGCAACCCTCGAACTTCCTCCTCTCACCTAACTATTCACCTCCCCCATGTGCCTCTCCTAACATGGCTTTCTCACCACCCACTCTTTTAGCACATGTACCTCCACTTGCCCGTTCAGCATCATCTTCAACTTCTCGCCACGACCTCCACAACAACGCTTCAGGTCCCATTGCTATCCACACCTAATACCAAGCTCCCTCAACAGAGACTTCAATCAATCTTGAAATATGATCTGGTCTCAACCCCACAATCTTCAGTTTCGCCACTTGAAGGTACTTCACTTTAGCTTCCAGTAGAACCACACCAGAGATTTAGCAATCTTTTCAAAGTAGGATGTTTTCCACAAGTTGAAAGGCAGGCCAATAAGGATGATTTCAAAATCTCCATCACCCAAATCTTTACTATTACATGAAGGTGACCAATTTTCAATCAAAATTAGTTCCAAAACATTCTCCATAGCTTAGGAATCAATCACCCTATCCCCAGTATCCAATTGTGCTCTTCTTTCATCAAAAGGAAAAATAAATACTCCATTGGACACTTCCATTTTAATTTTGATTTTTTCCGGTATAATCTCCCAGTCTTTTACCTCCTTTGTCGCCTTAACAACCCAACACTTCTCCCATTCTCTATCAACTTCCTCCTCTTCTTCATTCTCACCTATCTCATTCAATTCCACAAGGGGCTCCACCTAATTGTCTCTTGTTTCTTCATTCCCAGAGTCCAATTTATTAATTGCTTCCATTTCTTTCTTCACCAGGAAATCCTAAAGTCGTTGTGCCATCATCTTCCACCCCAAACCCTGTTTCCCTTCAGGAATACACACCATTGGTTTTTTGTTGTATCCAAAAAAAAAATCCACCACCATTACAAACCAACCTTTTTGGTTGCGTTTTAATTTTGCTTGATACCTTCTTCTTAACAACTCAAAGGAGCATCTCCATCCTTCTTTCTTAATGGAGAAGTGCCCCATCAATAAAACCTTTCAGCCATTGCGTGGCTTCTCCAATCAAGAACACTATTGCTTTCCCTTGCTCTCCGATTTTTAGAGTAACTTGTGCTTTACTTTTACCTTCTTCAAGCAGCAAATTCTTGGCTTCGATCTTTACTTCATCTCTCCATCTAACAACTGAGGAGGACCCCTCGACTCCTTGCACTACACTTTGCTCTCCACACCATTCTCCCACATCTGGGATAGAGCACCTAGACATCCACTTGAATAATGCTTCATTAAATGACAATGGAGAAGGTTCAGAAATATTGATGAAGTACACAAGGTTAACAAGTAGGAGTGGTCAACAAAAATTGAAAACTGAACCAAATCAATGAAATCGAACTGAAAAATCTAGTTAACCAAACAAATTGATTCAGTTAAATTCGGTGTTTTCAAAAAAAAAACGGTGGTACCAGTTTGATTCCGGTTAACCTAAAAGAAAAACCAGTTGTTAACCTGACATACCAGTTTATATTATGTTCATAATTATCTATTGATAATAATCTATTTATAATATACCGGTCTACATCGATAATATATATAAATATACTATACTATCTATATATTATAAATAAACTTATATACATTATATATAAATATATATTATGTTTATAATTTATCTAATGATAATAATCTATTTATAACATATAATATATTTATAATAAATTATATTATTATATATATGTAGTATTTATAATAAAATATACATATTTATAATATATTATATATTATTTATAATATATTATATATTATTTATAATATATTATATATCATTTGTAATATTATATATATAGTATTTATATTTTATATTATATATTTATATATTTACTTATAATATATATTGTAAATATAAAAAACCAAGAAACCAAAGAACCGAACCGGTCAAAAACCAAACTGATCAACCAGTTAACCAATTGGTTTCAGTTCGGTTTTAGTTTGTGGTTTCTCAAAAACTGGTGGTACCAGTTTGGTTTCAAAAAAGATCCTACGATTCTGTTAACCAAACCGTGAGCACCCCTAACAAGAAGTATCCTTCACAGCTGGTGGTTGATTGGGAGGTTCAATTTGGGAAATCAATGTGGTTGTTCTTTCTAGGTGGTCAAGAGTTTGCCAAGGTGACATTTAAACAATTGGAAGAGGAGAGAAAGAACAAAGATTATGCAGAAGTGGTGGAAGTGCATAGGACTAGTAAAGTATTTAGTGAAGGCAGTGATCTTGGTTAGACCCACTTGGAGGAGTTGGGCATGATTGGGGATAGAGGCCAAAGGAAGCCAATAAGGATGTGGTGCAGTCATATTCCATAGTGAGAGGTGCATCAACAAGCATGAGGGGAAGAGGTGAGGGAGATAAGTAAAGAAGCAATCATTAAAAGATGGGGAGCTTGTCCTTTTAAGGGTATGGAGGTTTGTGGTATTTTTGGTCTTCCTCCATCACTTGATCATCCTATTGTTAGCTGAAGTTTGTTCTTTACTTGATAGTTAGATGGTAAGTGAGTGTAAAGTTGATTGAGAAGGGGTGGGAGGTGATGGAAGTGGTGTTGCACTAGCTATTCATCTGATTTTTGGAGGAAAGTATTTTCAGTGGTGACTCTTCAGGTGTTATTGATGGCTAGGGTGCACTTGAGATGCCTGTTGGGTTCTAGTGGTCACTATGAAGTTTTTCTAGTTTATTCTGGTTCCCCCTACTTCATTGAGGATGGAAGTATTATATGTCAAGTTAAGGGTTTTGTTTTCTGGCATTTAATTTCGTTTCTTCTCTTTTGGGGGCCTTTTGCCTGCATGTCCCTTGTATACAGCTTTTTCTTTTAATGCGTTTTATTTTACTATCAAGAAAAAATCTTATGCCTAGGAAAGATGGTAACACCAGCACATCATGAGGGAGATAAGACACCTAGAAAGGGATAGAGTCAACTTTCTGCTAGGTTCCTAGATCTACAAATAGTCTACCCACTTTGGCCAAACAAAGGGTAAATAAGGATCAATTGTTATGGACTCAATTGTAAGGGAACAATTAATTGGGTTAGGTGAGAGTAAACCAGCCTATCCACGGGGAGCTTGCCATATTGTATATATTTTCATTTTTTTAATATCTCAATAAAGTCTTACAGTTATCCATAAAAAAAAAATCTTATGCCCATGCCAATCCTCCTGGTTAACCATTCATTCCATTCCACCAAACTAGAACCAAGAAACATAATTAGGCCTTAAAGCAGTCTTTTTCTTGAGAAAAGAAAACTTTTATTAAAAAAAGGGAAGGATGAAAACTTTTAGTAAACTTTCATTCAAGCAGTCATTACATAGAAATAGTTGTTGCATTGGAGTAAACGGTTAAGAAGCATATAGTATGAAACTATGAACTATAGTAAATAAATACCTTTCTAAAGTATTCAAGGGCCTCAGCACTGACTTTGCATAAATCTGTACATAACTGAACTCCAGTGATTAAAACTCCATGATGCTTTTCTTTAAGCAACGCAGCAGCAGAGCTAATAAAATTCTCTGCCAGGTCAGGGACCTTCTTTATAATTCTTATAGAGCATAATGCTGCCTACAGTAAACAAGCAATGAACTATATATCAACCACATTTATCAAAGGAAATAAAGCTAAATCAATAGAACAAATAGAAGAAAAGGATATAAACACATGGCAAAACTATAAAAATTATAAAATAATAACATGAATGCACGGGAAGAAAAAACAGTTTCAAAGATCCGCCGACCACCCATCTGAAAAAAAAAAAAAAAAAAAGAAAGAAAAACAAATCAAGACTTGTCAATCTTCAATCCAAATAAAGTTTCTCTATTTCAAGAGTAGACGAGGGTAATGGATCCAAGCTTGGGCTTAATTGTAATGAATTTCATTTACTTTTTACCACAACATCATGTGTCAGAAGGTCAATGGCTTGGATGTCCAAGTATTCATTCCCAAAACTATGATATTATTGACCATAAAAGAAATATGTTTCACCAAAAAAAAAGAATTACTTTTTTTCGAATGTTTGGATCTCGAAACTGAAGCAACCTTTCCACCTCAGGTGCAAGATCACGAGCCATTTCTGCTGAACAAATATTACCTAGAGCGCAAAGGGCAAGCCCCACAATATACTGATTTGAGTGATTGAGGTCTCTGTATACATGTTAAGAATTCTCAGCAAAGTGCAAACTACAAAACATTTCTATTCCCCTTATAATATTCATTGTAAAGATGCTCATTCTGATTAAAGATAATTGAGCAATCAGTGAATTACATTGTAGGATACTGCTTCAGAGAATTTGTAACCAGCATAAGAACTTCTTGTCTCTCATCAAGAAGCAACATGAGGCCAAGATACCCTATTCTCTTCTCTGGAAATCCACCAGATGCTATCAACTTTAAGCACTCCATTCGACCAAAATGTGTGGGGTAACCAAGTATGTGAATGAACATGAGCTTTGCCAGGTTGCGATGACGACAATCTTGATCATTTCCACTGAATGCAGCACGAATGGCAGCACATTCCTTTCTAACAACAGCACGTTCTTCTGCTGCAGTTTTACAAGCACGTATAGCTCGAATCATATCCCTGCAATGAAATAATTAGTATATATCACATGAATAATGTTAACAAACTCAAGCAACGTAATTAGATTAATTAGCTGCTATAAACATAATTTTCAAGACGCCAAGACGAGATAAGCAAGCAGGGGCACCTTGTCGCCTATTCGCCTAGGTGGTGGATGGTTCCTCCCAGTTCCAATAAAGGTCTCATAAATTATTTACTGAAAAGCACCTATCAGAGCATTCTTTCCAATAGCCAACATCAGAGCTTGACAGTCCAATTTGTGCACATTCCAACCTTCTAAAAATATTTTTATATTCATCCAGCTCCCTATCCAATATAGAAATAGAGAACAAGACCACCTGCTCTCCCCAACCTTCTAAGAATTGGCTTAAAGTGACCTTTGTTGAGCTCAGTCAGTACAGAACCAGGCACAAGTCACATAACCTGCCTGCCCAACACCTTTATCCTCCCGAGATGTAAATCATGTATCCCCCCCACAAAAAAAAAAAAAAATGGTGGAACCTCATGATACCTTCTGAATACATACTATGTGTGTTGACTGTTGTGTAAAGCACCCTAGAATCCCATTAAAATCCAATCACTCCCTGTTAATGCACACCACCACTCTCCTCCAGGGGTCATTCCACTCCACCCAAAGTACCAGAGCTACTTGGCCAAAATGCCTTGTTTATAACTTTAATCCACATAAATTGGATCCCCCCAACTATTACATATAAAAAATATAGTAGATCAGCACACTTACAGGAGAACATTAAATAAGATTGCATGCATATAAAGAAAATATAACATCATGACAAGGCTAACATGCACCAATATGTAAAGTGAAGTTTCTGTTTTGTGTATCAAAAATCACTTGAAAGAACGAGTATCAGGAGGCATTTGGTATAACCGTATAAGCTCTAACAATGCATAGATCAATAATAAAGAGAAAGTAAACTCTTCCAAAGCAGCAAGACCACCACAAGCACCCTAAATTCATATGTCTATGTCCCCCTTGTTTTAGAGCAACAGAAACAACAATCTCCACCAGGAAGTTCCATGATGGGAAGGATGATATCAATTGCACCCTAATAATATATGGAAGACATCCAGGAAGCAGCCTAATAAACAAATTAGTGATTGAGATTAAACGGTGTGAACCAAGCATTTTCAATATATTCATGTATAGTTAGTAATTAAGAATTCTTAATTCCATCCGCTGTATCTCATTTTGCATGTTTGAAAATCTAGTCTTAATTTAGAATTTTAACTCAAACGAACCTCCGGTGGCAATTTATTTTGTTACTAAGGCTGTGTTTGGTTACAATGCAAATTTATTTGCACTACTACAAATGCATGGGACTGCAATGTAAAAAAATACAAATTCTTGTTTAACTTTGATTTGGATTTTACTTTATTCTGCTTCATGTCTTAATTTACTTCATTTGTACTACAATCAAACAAAATACGCTAAAATTTGAAATAAAAATGGGTCAGAATTTACACTCAAATTATTTACACTGCCATGGTTTTGCATCAGTGCAAATTTATTTGCATTGCAACCAAACACAGCCTAAGGCCCCACTTGTTTGGAGTGCAATTTCATTTAATACAAATGCATGAGAAAGAGAAAAAAGCAAATTCTGGTTCACTTTGGCTTTGGGTTTTGCTTTACATTGCTTGAGGTTTTATTTTACTTCATATGCAATGCAAACAAACAAAACATCGGTACAAATGAAGTTATAGTGGGCAAAAATGAAGGAAAATAAAAGAAACGGAGTTCAAAATCTGGTTGCTCACTATTACATTTAAAAATGTATAACCAAGTGAAACAAAATGATTAAAGTAAATTATTCACAATTCCAGGCAGAGAAGGAGCAGAGGGAAAATGCTCTTTTCTTCTTAAATTGCATTCATTTCGCAGCACAAAATTATCTGTATATGATAATTTAAACGCCATGGATTATAAATCTCATTGTTTTTCTATGTAGTTCAATTAAAATAAATGCTAGGCTCTATTACTCTAAAGCCCATAGCTCCCTATCAAGAACGGCCTTAGCCACAAAATCAACATTTTCGCATACTCGATCCAACAGGAAGCAAAGCCTGCTTCACCACTTACCGCAACCGCGTTCCTGAAGAGAAAGGATTCATGATTGAATCCGTCGTGAATATCTGGGAGAGCTCAATCCGATCCTAATAAGAGCAGTTTCAGCCGCAGAATGAGACAGAAGTGAGGTAATGGCTGAGATCCGAGGTAATGGCTGAGAAGTGTCTAAGAAAGGAGGTAAGAGAATGTGACAGAAATGCAGAAGCGGAATTCGGATCAGAGAAAGAGAGAGTGCAGAATTACGTCTGTGTGAGGTTTTTCATCTTCTTTTTCTTTTGCCATTTCCTTCTTCTTTGTCTGTATGCCCTGTAAACGGAGGAGAGAGATCTCCGAAGTTAAGGCTCAATTACACAAATTAACCAAAAATTAATTTTGGTAAAGAAATTCATGTAGTACTGTATCTGTCCAGGCGAGTGTCATCGGAGTCGAGGGAACATAGGGCCCAGGAGGCTTTGAATGGGCTTTGGGTAGGGGTGCAACTTGGGCGGGCCCGAACCGGCCCAACCCGGAATTTTATACGGGCTGGGCTTGGATTTTTGACCCTTGGACTGGGCTCAGGCCTAAGAAGTCAAGACTTTTTTATTTTTTGGGCCGGGCTCAGGCCTATCCCTTAAGTAGCCCGAACCCAGCCCAATTATATACATTTATACATGTTTATATATGTAAATGTTGCATACATATTTACATATATATATATATATATACATACATATTTGTCTATATAACTTTTGTATATATATTTACATACATACATAAATATAATTTTAGAGTGGATTCATTGACCAACTTGAGCCCGGCCTAGGCCCGAGCCCACCCCAAGTGCATCAAATTACAAGGTGGGTTGGGCTCGGATTGGGAAAATCAGGCTTGACCTCAGGCTCGAGCCTTAAGCCCAAATTTTAGAGCCAGACATGGGTTGACCATAATCCTACCCTAGCTTTGGGTCGTCTATACGTTTCATGTTCACCTCCTACCCGTGGCTCACTTTTGTATTCACCTCCTTGACCACCAAACCCTAAAAACCATGCACACATTCCTCTTGGCTCTTGCCTCTTGGATTTAATTACAATAGTAGTCAGGACCTGTACGGGTTTTATTTCTCAGCAAAATTGAAGATGATTAAATGGTGTTCATCTAAATTCAATTCAAGTATTATTTTTTAGGGTTATGTTTAATTTATCCGATCACAATCTAAGTTACGCTTTAGTGAGAGTGGTCAATTTCCTATTCTTTTGTCTTATTTTTTTGTATCTTAATGTTAATTTTTATTAATTTTTTTGAAAAATGTTTTTATTAATTTTTACTAATTTATTATTATTATTATTATTGTTGTGTTATTTGTAGGTAAAATTATATAAAAAAAATCCTCTTATAACAATTCTATAAACCACCTTTGTATTATGTGTCAATCTGGCCAGGTCAAAAGTATTGGGCCAAGGCCTTACTCCGGCTATAATTTATCACCCCTAACTCAAAACCCACGTAGACTAAACCCAACACAACTTAGGATGATTTAGGACTCAGGTAGGTTTGGTTGGACTTGGGATTGATGAGGCTGTTCAAACCCAACCAAATGAAGTTCTAGGCCTGGTCTTATATTACCAGCCCAAGTCGTAGATCATAATTCTCAAACATTTCTTAATTTATGCTTGCAATGTGGAACTTATTTGGACTAAAAGTGCCATCTATTTCTTTGTTTGAGAAATGGTATAAAAGTCATTCCATTATAATTTCAATTCCAGCTTTAATGACTAATAAAATGCCAATATTTGTGTATTTAATCAATATTTAATTGTAAGGGTTGAAAATGTCACTTCAATTATTACTTTTCACCTCATTTAATCCCCTTTCATTAAGTCTTATATTTAAGGTATTAGAATCCCATTTTCTTTTATTAAATCCTATAGTTATCTTTCACTAATAAATGCTACAAATTAGATATATGCCAATATTTTTAACAATATAAACCTACTTATTTTAAAACTGACTCAAAAAACAAAACCATGTTTTATCTAAGTGGTGGTTAAGCAATTCAACCATCCGTATCAAATTGATTAACCTATGAAGTCAAAGTTGGGTAATAAAATTTTTAAAATAGAAATAAATATATAAAATTACAATAATTGTAGAAAAAATACACATATAAGATATTTTTATTAATTAAATTAAAAATAAGTATAATAAACAATAATTATTTTTACTGATATTGAAAATAAAATACATAATTTAAAAATAACCAAAAATGAAATATAAAAATTAATAATAAATAGTTCAACTTTTGGCTTAAATGTGTGAACCTCTAATGTCACAAATAAATAATAAAAATTAATAAAATAAAAATACATAAATTTTGCAAAAAAAATGCATGCAAGCACATGTATAATATCATATATCTATTTCTTTGTTTGAGAAAAAGGTATAAAAGTAAAAGTGCTTTCGTAAAAGTGCTTTCCTAAAAGTACTTTCTTAAAAGTGCTTTCAAAGGGTATATTTTGAAAATTTGAAAGAAAATGAAGGACAAAATAGTCACAAATGCTTATATTGAGTGCTTATTAGAGAAAAAGACTACCAAATGCCCAATATAAAATAATTATTTATTTTAAAACTAACTCAAAAAACAAAATCATTCTTTATCCAAGTGATGGCTAAGCAATTCAACCATCAAAATCAAATTGATCAACCTATGAAGTCATAGTTAGGTAATAAAATTTTTAAAATAGAAATAATATAGAAAATTACAAAAAAATATACATCTTTATGATATTTTTATTAATCAAATTTTAAAAAGAATAAGTGTAATAGACAAAAATTATTTTTATTGATAATGACGCTGTTTGTGGCTATCTCCATGTTCATGTATGAAAATCGAAACCGAACCGACCCGAACCGGCTTAGATATATATATATATCTGATATATTTCAGTTTTAATATATATTTCAGCTTTATTTCAGAAATATACATATTATATATAAAATTTCTGATATATAAAATATTAGTTTTAATCCATCAAATCATTTTTAATTTCCAGGCATCCAGCCTTTGCTTTGTTAGACTTGAATCCTTTACCATTCACACTGAGAGAATCATTCACAAAACCGACCCAAATCGATTCAAACCGACTAGGTCGGTTTTACTTAGTAGTGGGTTGGTTTCAGTTTCATTTCTAGGTAAACCAACCAGGTCGGGTCGGTTGGAAAAACGCCAGTAAACCAACCCAACCCGACCCGTGAATAGCTCTACTACCTATAAAGAGCGAATTCTCATTTTTTTCTAGAATTTTCATTTGACATTTTCTACCCTTCTTGTCTAAGCACACAACGGGCATAAAAAGGGCATATATGTCCTTTACTCTCACTTCAGAAACTACCCACTTAAGTTATAACCATTCAGAAACTACCAATGAATTATAAATAGTTTTATCTTAGAGATATTTCCACATGCAAGTGCACATACACATTTACTAGTAAAATATAGTATCCCAAACTCGTGTTCAGCCCACCCAATTACCACCCTTACTCTTGCATGTTTTGAGTATTGAAACAGTAGAGATTTTAATTTAGGCCCTGTTTGGTTCACAGGAATAGGGGGGTCTGGAATTAGAATCAAAATGGGTTATTCTGATTCCAACTATTTGACTGCGTGGAATTAGAATCCTATTCACATTCCTGCTGGAATAGCATTCCCTCATTTGAGGGAATAACCATTCAGCCCATTCCCAGCTTCTCCCTAGGAAATGAAATTCCATTCCTACTGATTCAAATTCCCATTCCAATTCCTGTCTGAACCAAAGAGACTTTATAGAAATGAACCATTCTAATTCCAATTTCAGAAGATTTTGATTCCAATTCTGACCGCAAACCAAAAGAACCCTTTATGGGTAGAGAAAGGATGATAATATTATGTCAGCATTGACATACAGGGATAAATACCAATGCACGCGTGTATGGGTTTGGGATGGACCTTGAGCTAGGCAAGAGGGACTCTTGAGCTACACATGATTGTCCTGCCCAAGCTATAGCCATAATTATCAACCGGAATCCATAGGCTATCATCCTTGATCCGTATGAAAATTCCTTTTTTTTTTTCAATAGCCCCTTCTGGATGAGAAAATTTCCTCGCCATTTGGACAAAAACAAATTAGTAAGGGGTGGAAAACTTGGTTCTCGATGGAGCAAAATAAGAGCAGAAATATTCCAGTCTGAAAATCTTTATGCACATTTTAAGAACAAAAGGGTCCAGTCTTCGGCATTTAAGTTGAATTGCAGTATATTGTGGTAGAGGACAATAGATCACAAGCTAGCAGAAGATTGTGGCTTGACTACTTGGCCAAGAATAGAAAGATTTTGGACACTATGGTTTTGTTTATATAAATTATATGTTTATTTTGGGATGATCGTTCAGTTTATAACTTTGTGTTTCAGTTAATCCTTCTAGGGATACAGCATACAAGTCTATATTTTGTTCTTTCGAAGAATTTGTATCTGCGCTTTTTTGGTTGGTACTGTGATTCATACAAGTTTCTAAGTCTATATTCCTGTGTTCATACAAGTTTCTAAGCTTCTTAGTTTGAATGATATATGATTCTTGCCTTAAAAAAACATACGAGTAGCATATACCAAGTTAGCAATTCATTTTATGCAGTTTCTAAGCCATGTTTCAACTATATGGGATCGACTAAATGAATCCTATTTGATTCAGTTCTGTTTAATGTCTCGTATCCATTCTTAAATTATGAGTGATCGAGTGCTTAAATCATTTCTTACTATTATAAAGGTGACTTATATTTAATGTGAAAAAGTGTAACTATACAATCAATGGCACCCTCTGGACCAGCATGAATAACCAGTATAAACATCCAAGACTATAAATGGAAAACTGCTTCAAAAGAGGCTTCCCAGTGGCAACCAACATACCGACAACCTGAATACTTGTATCACTTTCCATCATCATTATATTCAAAAAATTGTTGTTTCTCCCAGGATGCTGATACATCCACGATCCACCATTTGCTTGTTTCCGAAAATATAAGTCTGGTATCGGGAGAATAAACAAAATCTCCCATCTCATGACAGCACCAAAACTGCACAGGCAAGATCTCAATATTCACCAGATTACGTTAATGGAAGCAACTCAATAATCCTGATTCTTGGCCATGGAAGCAAATAACATGCCGAGTACACAACTTGTGCTCTACAAAACCATACCAAAACGATTCCATTTCTGCTCATCTTGGTGCATAAAATAGACACTCCTTGTGCATCTCAAGTAGAACTTTCAAAGGAAACATGAATTTGGCTGTTACTCCGTGGCTTCATATTTGAAGCAATAGCTATTCCTTTAAGTAGTTTCAAAACACCAGCAGTATCATCCAGGTAGTACTTAGCTTTGCTCGGCTTTTGCCCAACAGTGCAAGCAATGATTTCTGGACCCACAGGTAATGATAGACTAGAGACTGTACTTGATATACTCTCAAACATGTCCTCATCAGATATATCATCTCCAATGCACATGACAAAATTTGGCGGACTTCCATTGTTGACCATTGTGGATAGAATCTTCTCTGCAGCCAACCCTTTACTTACTCCCTGCAATTTATTAAGTCATTGTTAGGACCTTAGCTACAAAGAAGCAAGTCGTTAATGAGACAACCTCCATCCATACCTGTGGCTTAACTTCAACAATTTGATGCCCTCTCTTAACAACAACTGGCTCATTTGCAAGAACATTTTCTAGATGACTCGACAATTCCATTGCCTGGCAGGATCCGAAGTCAGGGTCTGCATCTTGATGGTGCCAGACCAATGCACTTTCCTTTAGCTCTATATAAGACCCATCAGTTGTTTCTGTATAAAGTTTCATGACAGGTTCTGCAATTTGTTTCCAATCAAAGACAGAGGCTAAGGTACTGGACTCCCAATCAGAGGATTTAAACCACCTAAAAAAAGAAGAGTAGCATCTTTCAGTTTCTGTATTGAAAATATTTTTTTTGATAAATTTTGTATTGAAAATATTTCAAACACCAAGCTAAAAAATGAGGTGCGGGAGGAATAAAACTTAATACCTTATGAAGTAACCATGTTCAGCAGCTATTCCAAGCATCTCACAAGGAGCAAACCACTCACTCAGAGAACTCCACCCTCTACCACTAACAATAAACACAGTATTCTTAGGATCGCTGCACAAATTGTTGAGAATAGAGATTACTTCAGGACTAGGAGTTTTATTAATAGATGCTAGAGGCACAATGGTACCATCATAGTCCAGAAATATTGCCCTCCTATCTGTTCTCTTGTATGCTGAGACAACATGGTCAATGGACAACTTCCTAAAGCTTGGAGAGAGGGCAACAACTCTGAAACCCAGGCCAAAACCCATTCCCCAGCAACGCTTGCTGTAATGATCCCTGCATGCTCTTTCCAAATCCTGCATAAAACTGCGGGCCCAATAAGCAATATCATGAGAGCTAACATATCGGTAGTGCTTCTCATGCCGCAATTGCTTCTCAGCCTCTGGCATGGTGATGGCCAAATTTAATGCATCAGCTACAGCATCAATGTCCCATGGGTTGACCCTAATTGCCCCACTCAGAGAGGGTGAACAACCGATAAACTCAGACACAACAAGCATGCTTGTTCGAGGTGTTTCTGCAGACACCCCCACCGCTTCATCCATCTGTCGAGTTCCCTGCCTACAAACAACATACTTGTATGGAATTAGGTTCATCCCATCCCTAATGGCATTTACTATACAACATTCTGCCACAGCATAGAAAGCGATCTTTTCATAATTCAGAATAGTATGATCAATTATGATCACTGGGTCATAGCCTGGTGAACCATAAGTTTCATTGATCCTTCTTGCTATCAAATATGTCTCCCGTTTTGCTTCCTGCACATCTTTCCCTGTACTCCTTGCAGGATTCACAATTTGAACTAGGACAAGTCGGCCCTGCAACTCCTGATGTTGTTGCAGAAGCTGCTCCACAGCCAGCAATTTCAGGCTTATTCCTTTAAATATGTCCATGTCATCTACTCCCAGAATCAATTTTTTTCCTCTAAACTGTTCTTGGATCTCTTTGACTTTGATTGAAGCAGAGTGAAGATTCAAGACAGATTGTAGCCGACCCATATGAATACCAACAGGCATGATTTTAATGTATACTTTGCGGCCAAAATAATCTAACCCAATGTACCCCCTCTTAGATGCATAATCAATTCCTAACATCCTGCTGCAACAAGATAGAAAATGTCGAGCATAGTCAAAAGTGTGAAAACCAATCAGATCTGAATTTAGCAGTCCTCTCAGAATTTCTTCTCTAACAGGCAATGTCCGGTAGATTTCTGATGAGGGAAAGGGGCTGTGAAGGAAGAAACCAAGCTTGACTCGGTTGAATCGCCTCCGTAAGAAAGTAGGAAGAACCATAAGATGATAATCATGAACCCAGACATAATCATCGGAATTCATTACTTCCATAACCTTATCTGCAAATATCTTATTTGCAGAAACATATGCCTGCCAAAGTGACCGGTTGAAGCGAACACCAAAATCTGGGCAAATAGGCAACATATAATGAAAAAGAGGCCACAGTTGCTGCTTACAGAATCCATGGTAAAATTTCTTCTGAAGGTCAGGAGGAAGAAATGTAGGAACACAATTGAAATCCTCCAGAAGCTTTAGGGCAACTTCTTCCTGTTCAATGGCATCTATATGAACTTTCAGAGAACCCACATAAATGACCTCAGTTTCAGATGAGAAACCATCCTTCAGTTGTAACAGAAGAGAATCTTCATCCAAACTGAAGCACCATTTCCCTGTTTCTGTATCCCTCTGAGAGTGCAACGGGAGCATGTTTGCTACAATAATTTTTCGCTCACGGCATAAGCATGAAGTAGTAAGACCTGAATCCCTATCATTAACAACATCGCCATCTAAATCAGAGATAATTCCAGGAACAGTCATCACACGTGGAAGTGATCTTGGAGTCCGAGGGAGATCCAGAAGGTTCCCAGAAGCCAAGTCCAAAAAATTAGCACATGACCTTGATACCATGACTGTTACAAGAAGCGTAGGCGTCCTGATAGGCAGTTGTACAAATGCAGCTCAACTAGTGACAAACAATCATATTTCTCCAGGAAATACCTGACAATCATCCCAAAGTATAGATATGAAAGGCATCTGCACAAGAGAGTAAAAGCATCACATAATTAAAGAACTTTTGACCTGAAATATTCAAAGCCATCAAAGTTTAAATGTTTAATAGTTCATAATTCAATATAAAATCAAGTTTCATTATTCTATTGAGTGCAAAGAGATTGTAGACAAAACAGATATAATCTAAACAAACTAATAGAATAGGATTAAAGCATCCTCAGCTAACACCCTATATTTGGCAGAATTTTAAATCTAAACCACTAAGCTGCATCAACATCTAAACCGTCCTATAATTTGGGCCATAAAATAGTTAATTTACTACTCCTTAAGCTTGCTGCTTTCATTCTACGAAGGCTCTTGTTTATGAAGTGGACCATGCATAGAGAAGACATCCAGATGAAAGACAACATTTCTATTACCTAAGATGATTATGGCTGAAAGCCTTAGAAAGCATGGTGTTAATAATATCAGACATCAGCTAGGCAGAAATACCCATTCGAGAAAAGAAAAAAAAAATCAATTGTTCATTCCATGCTACTTGGTATCCTTCCAGCTTCAATATGTAGCAAAGGCAAACCATGGAACCTTCTCCCAAGTCCAAACAAATGGCCATAGTACCTCCCATCTTAAAGATTTTTAACTGCTCACCTAACACAACTTCTTAAGGCCTTCTAAGACATTTGAAAAACATAGTAGGTTAGCAAGTGTAGTGAGTTAACAAAATGAACAATGATAATAAGGAGCAAGGTTTAGCTGAACACTTTAGCTGTTTAGCGGGCTGTGGAACCAATGATAAGGTTCCATGACAATAATAAAATACATGGGGTCCGCACCTTTCACAGTGGGGCTCATGAATTTATTACTGGCGTGGAACCTCATCATTGGTTCCACAGCCCGCTGAACAGCCAAAGCGTTCAGCTAATCCGAATTTGATAATAAGCATAACAAGCACTGATGTATGAGCAAACATAGTGGCCAAATAGAGTGAATAATAAGTCTGATCCCTTGGTTGCATTCCATTGTTTCCAATCAAAAGAACTGTTTGAACAGTTTGCTTTTCTCTCACTAATTTCTTTTAATGGTGGAATATGATTTCATAAAGCAATCACAAATGTAACTAAAACCATTAAACAAGAAAAAGTTTTAGGAGATAAATGCAACAAACAAACTAGAAATTTCCATGTTAACTATACCTACTTACATATGATCTAATCCACTTGGAAACTCTTGGCTAACAATCTAAAACTTACTTTAAATCCAGCTTTATGGAAGAAAGGCCTAAAGATTCACTAACCCAGATCAATTTCTGAAAATGCTCATGGACCTAAATTTGCATAGTCTTGTTGTTTTCAGAAAGATAGGCAAGGATTTCATTGTACTAGAAATAATTTCGCTAATGTAAGATGAGAAATCTATTGATGTCTGACACTAAGATATGCATGTACACCAATCAAACCCGCACTCAATAATTTTCTGCTTAGGAGTAGAGACATGTTCTGATATTAGCATGCATTCAACATATCTTACCGTAAATTCGGGATTATAATTAAATTAAAGACCCAAATAGATAGATGGAGTATTTTCACCGAGGAAAGCAATGACATCAGAACAAACTTCAACAGTATGGGAAACCCTGGAAGATTTCAACCGAAACTTTTAAACAAAGTCTCCAAGTATCCCCTCATCTCCGTCGCTATTTGTGGAAATTAATAGATTTTCAATAAAAGAAAACAACATATGGCCTTAAAATCTCTGGTTTCAAAATCATACACGTTCATTGTTTTAAGGATTAGAATTCTTCTAGTAATTCCCGAAGGAAAAAACAAAAATGTCTCCACTATTGTCCTTGAACTAGTTTTCTCATTCTTGAAAATATTCAGTTATTTGTAAAATTTCTTTCTCTGATATTCCATTTCATTCTCTTTGCTGTATCTTCTGCCTCCGACTTCTGAAGAAGATTTAAGAAAGATTTCTCCACGTCTTGTAAATTTTTTCAACGATGGAGGAAAACAGAGAAATTACATATTATTAAACTTGAGAACAAAGTGTGTTCAAAATTTGAGGCGAACTCTTCAAAGAATAAAAATGAATTTTATTTCTCAAACGAAGTTTGCAAACCCGGAAAGAAAGCATGAAAGCTACCCGATTAAGTTTTGAAAGAAATGCATATTCAAATTTAGATCAAGCGCTCCAAGTAACAGCCAAACTTCTAGATCCCAAAGTCTCAATGGAAACGTAAATACAGTAAAAGAGAAACGGAACCTGGAGATCTCACCTAAAGCAGACATTCAAAAAGAAAACTGATCACCAAACTCCTGTCAACAAGCTACGACGAGATTTTCTGCGGAACCGTCACAATTCAGACAAACGAAACGACGGGAAGAAGAACAAAGAAAATCCTATAATTAACCACAAAAGGAGAAAACAGAACGGAGATCAGGATGCCGTGCAAACTTACCGGGGAAACGCGGCCGTGATCGACAACAAGCCAGAGAAAAAAAAAATGAAGTTAAACAGGAGTAGCTCGACTGACTACACTTGCAGCGAAGTTCCAGGTATCTAAAATTTTAAGTATTCGAGGAATGCGGGGAGAATGTCAGAGTTTCCGGCGTTCAAAAGCCACCGAAAAGCACAACAATGGAGTTTCTTGTTCTTTCTTTCTTTGTCTTGCAACAAAGAGCGAAGTAAAGACTGATTAAATGAGAAAGCTGAAATAAAAAATAAAAAAATAAAAAAGAGAAAAATACAAACAATCAAACAAGTCGAGAAGCCCACCCAAGTTAGGTTTTAACCGCGGTTTGATTACAGTTTTTTTATATTATTTTCGCTTTAATCTAAATTCGAAAAGGCCCCTGCTTAACAACTATATTCCACAAATATCCTTTCTTAATTCTTCTCAATTCTCATTAATTAAGTTTATTTATATTATAATATTACGTTTTTTTTTTGCTAAGAATATAATAATACTACCGTTGTCATCTTCTCTCATTTCATTTGTGATTACTGATTAGATTGATCAACCTGACAGTTTCCCCAAGACCAAGAAAATCACAGAGAAAGAGAGTGTGTGTACTAGTATTAATTATGTGGCTTTATTTATTATTGTAATTAAAAATAATAAAATACTATTTGCTATAAATTAGGTTTTTGTTGGCAGGCAAATGCAAATGATAAGAGTCATAAGACTCAATGAGGAGAGAGGTTCCCTATTAAAAAATAAATAAAAGAGGTAAATCTAAGAGGGATAATGGATAGTTTGTTTCACCTAAAATCTGTTTTTTAAGGTACAAAAAGTAGGGCCTCATTAGCCTTTCTAATAAAAAAAAAAAAAAGGAAAACTATTCTCCCTAGTCCCTACTTAGGTATTAGGTCAAATGAATGTATAACTAGAGTACCCTAAAAAAAACAGCCACTGATTGGTAATATTTCGAAGATTCAGGGATTAGAATGGCGAAATAGATAAATTAGGAGTGCTTGCCTTGTTCTGCTTATTTACGCCACATGTCTATTATTTTATATTTATGGATGATATAATGATGATGATGGGTTCATGCCTACACTACCAGTTATTAAAAAATGGGAAAAAGGTGGGTGGAAGGGTGAAGGATATTTATTAATTTGGTGAAAGATTGTAAATGTAAATATTGTAAAGGAGAAGGGAGCTTTTAGAGAAAATTCTTGATTACTATCCTATACTTTAGATCTAATATCACTTTTGTCCTCATTTTAAAATGCCACAATTTAATATCTAAATTTTTAAAATGTGACAATATAGTAGCTGTCATTAACTAATTGTTAATCAATTGTTAAGTGATATTTTAAAAAGATACAAATATCTTTTAAATATTATTTAATTTTTTTTATCAATTATGTAAATATTCACAAAAAAAAATAATAGTTTCAAATGATTGCTTCTTCTGTTCGAAAAAATTAATATTACTATAATACCCATTCAAACTTGACCTTGATTTTCTTGAATGGAAGAAGGACTTGAGATTGTTAATTTTTTATCAATGTTTAAATAGTTAATAAAAAAATTAAATGACACTTCAATGGATATTTACATCCTTTTCAAATATCACTTAATGACAAATCAACTGCACATTAATAACATATATTGAATTATTACATTTTAAAAATTCAGATATTGAATTGTATTTTAAAATTAGGAGACCAAAGTGACACTAGAATACTAATCGGGAATTTTCCCCAACTTTTAACTGTATAAATGGATAAGGGCATTTTTTTTTTAAATAAGAATTAAGAGGCGGGATGTGAGCTGTGTGTTAGTTAACGACAGCTGGGTTAAGACTTGGAACGTTTTGATTCTCTTATTAAATGTTTTTTTTTAAATAAACTTTTATTGTTTCATGACTTTTATCTAAAATTTAAGCTCCCGACGCAAAGACAAAGAGAAATAGTCGGAGAGTGGGCGAGCGTGACCGAGACTGCACGCCGCTGCCCGACCATGCCACATTCGTTGCTGGCAAACTGGATAAGCATATCCCCGTCATCCCATCGCTATCACTTTTCAACCATATTTACCATTTTGCCCATAGTTACATCACATAAATTTTGTGGGCTGCCACCAACTTTTATTCTATACGTAATTACGTATAATAAAATAGTAAAATAGTACACGGTGCAACTTGCAAGTGACGATCCGGTGGGCCCCTCACAAACATATTGTGTGCTTATGCCACTTGCCACATGTTCTGTAGTAGCGATCCAAGCGGGAAACTGCCTTGACTCTCTTGCCCCCCCCCCTCCCCCATTTCAAGGTGGGCCCTCGGTCTTGAACGATTTGGGCCACAATTTGTTGACATCCGTATGATGATGCGCTTTTCACGTTTTCTGGTCAAAGGAAGTACAGTAATATGATAGGGGTTGCGCTACCTGGACTGGTCCAAGCATTCAAAATTTGCAACATGCGATATGAGGAGGACAAATGTCGTTTTGAACGTAAATTTGTGGGGCCCCCATCTTGCTCCATGCACCCCAAAATATTGACATAAATAATGTCATTGTTATCCGTTTTATTTTTGGGGAGGTGACTTTGAGCACCCTGCACCTGCACCTGCACCCACTGTTTTTGATAACACGAAGCTACCAACTCTGCAGTCTACGTGGCACCGGAATTGACTCTTTAAAAACAAAACTACCCTCTCAAATATTTAGTTTCCCATCATGAATTTATTTGCATTTACCAGAAAAAAGACATCAGGCTAATTAGACATTTAGACCTAACCTGTTCCAACTTCCAAACCAATCCAATTATTGCCACTCAAATTGGGTTAGGTCTTAGGCTTCCGGAGTTAACAACATAAGAAAAAAAGCAAGTATGGTTTAATAGTTCTAAATAGCATCATATAACGTGTTATATGATGTAATAGTGTGCAATGGTATGTTTATATCCATAATAGTGTGCAATGATATGTTTATTGAGAGGATTTTATATGCCAAATACAAGAAAAACAACGTCTGGTTATATATTATTACCAAATTGCAAAGTAGTAACAGCAATAGTTAAGATTGTTAATGGGTCAGCTCGATCCAATAGACTCAAAGCAATTGGCAATTGGGTTGGTTTTGGTTTTTAACATATATTATCCTGATTATTATTGGTTTGAAACCAATTCTATATAATTTTAAATTAACTCGAACTATCTAGTTCTGAACTCATTGCGTTCATCAAATTAGACCTGATTGTCTCGAGAATCTAAAATTACACTTTATTAGTCCTTAATATTTCTTATTATAAGGATCGGTTTTAATTCTATACGGACCCACCTCGTTGACAGCCCTAGCAATAGGATTCCCTTGTAAGACGTGAGGCAATTGATGGGAAATGGAAAGCTTTTCTAGTAATGTTTAAATAAGCAAGGCCGAAAAAGATACAATTTTATTGTATGCGAATGTAATTCTTGTAAACAGGAAGATAAACAAAATGCACTCGGTAGGAGAAGCTGTATTTTGACCAGATTTTCAGATTACTCAAATGTTTCGATCAACGTAGTATATATTATGTGAGTAGGGAAATAAAAAAGATATTGGCTCATAGTTTAGTTTATAAAATTTGTAAGAAGGGAATTTTTAGACAGTTTCAATTCCCTCGAAATGGTATGGATGTAATTATGTTTAAAAGGTTAATATAATATTTTTTTCTTTTATCTAAAAACTAGTTCTTAAACAAGAAAGTATGATTTATTGCATTTTTTCCATTCGTTTTTTTAGTATGATTTAATTTTATAAATTAATATTAAATAAAAAATAAAATTATTAAATCTTTCAGATTTTTTTATACATCGCACGGATCCCAAGTAGTACAATAAGTAAGTAATAACTTATTGTTTTATTTTTTTTTTCTTTTGTTTAATAATAAAGGCTTCAGAAGCCTGGCAGCCGCCCTCCCTACCTCTCTCGTTTATCCTTCGCTTCTGCAACCCAAAAATAGACGGGGAGTAGAGAGGAGTGAGTGTAATAGGCTCATTTTTAAATTTTGTCTTCGTTTCTAATATTATAATATCTAATTCCCAAAAAACTAAAGAGTGGAGGAAAAGTCCGTAATTTGCGGTAATTGGGGGATGTTTGGTAGTTACGTCGTCCGATGCGGATAAAATTGTCTGGACAGGGATTTGCTTTCAACTTTTTTCTCGACGATTTTCCTCATCACAACCACTGCCGACGTACGGTCGTCTAATTGCCTCCGCAGAGCGACTTTATTAATCCACGTGGGGTCCACCGATAATCGAGCCCGCATACGTTCCTTTGATCCATGCCGTTGGTTTTGCCCACGTGGCTACAAAAGTCCGAGAAGCACGAGAGACACGTTCCGGGTCTGGCAAGGCCCAGTATTCGAGAGCAGGAACCTGAGAGAGAGAGAGAGAGAATGTGAGTGGGTCCCGCTTTATCTGGTTACCGCGTTTCGCGGCAGTTTCCCAAGATGGCGTGTGAAGGGATAAAAAAACGGTCAGGCCTCGTCCCTATGACCCTATCCAAAACCTTTCGGGTGGGACCCACGCCCCACGGAAAGTTCTAAACGTATCTTTCACGCTGTCACTTTCTTCGTTTTTCTGATATATATAAAAATTGATTTCCCTTTTTAATACTTGGTAACTTTGCCTCTCTCGCCTATGTCATCGTATTTAAGCGTTGTTTCGGGTTGTTGATAAATCCATTTTAGCTACCCAGTGTCATTTTCTCATCCCGTCAAGATCCGATACACCACATATTCCCATGATTTCACCATGTAATATCACCAATTTAGAATCCAACGGTTTATATCTTTCAAAGGACCAAAAGGCATTGGTTTCATGGGCCATCATACTTTTAAGTGGGCCCAGCTGTCCAAGTCCGCGCATCTTCTGGGTACACCAAGTGATCCGCCAAGTACAAAACAGTGCTGCTAGTGTGTTTACCTGTACATGTCGTCCCGGGATAAAAGTCAGGTTAGCCACATGTGTGGGCCCACGTTAAAGAAATGTGTTTCTCTGTAGGTTGCATTGCACCATCAGCACACGCACTTCATCTCTATAGATGGTTTGGATTTAGGGTAAGTAATCGTAAATTTAAGATATCAACAAGTTGGGGATTGAGGTGCAAGTAGGGCGGGCTGGGCGGGTCTGTCCCAACTCTATTGGTTAAGAAGCCATTTGGCATATCTTTTTGGGAAGATCTTTGTTGGTTTTAATGGTTAAAAGATGTATTGAGTTTTTGCATGAACATAAAAAATTTGAAGTATGTTTAGTAGATGC